ACAAATTACAGCTTTAACTGTCTTGGCTTAGCTACACCATCCAGAAGAGTGGTTGCCTACCCAGACAAGGCCAATGGCAGACAGAAAGCAAGGAGGGTGGGTGCAAAAATAGTGTAGAAGGCCGAAACCAGTTTGACTCAGTGGATAGAGCATCAGTCTGCGCACTGAAAGGTCCCAGGTTCGATTCCTGTCAAGGGCATGTACCTTGGTTCCAGGCACATCCCCAGTAAGGGGCGTGCAAGAGGCAGCTGGTCGATGACTCTCTCATCAATGTTTCTAACTCTCTATCTCTCTCTCTTCCTTTCTGTAAAAAATCAATAAAATATATATTTAAAAAAATAATACTGTAGAAGTAGAACCCATGAGGATTGGCATTTCATTAGATAGAAAGGTATAAAGAAGAAGCAGGAACTAAAAATGGCCTTGAAGCTTTTCACCTGGGTGACTTCATAATGGTGGTGAAATTTCCCAAACAGGAACAATGAAGAAGGGGCAGATTTCATAGGGACTATAAATAAATTCAACTTGTTTTGCCATCTTAACTTGGAGATGCTAGTGGTGTAAACAAGTGGTGATATCTAGCAGAAAGATGAAAATAAGAGCTGGATATCAAAAAAAGAAGGTGCTTTCAGTGCTGCTAGAGGCAACTGACATCTTGGAAGCTGATGTGATTTGTGGGGGAGAACTTTGTTTATGCAGAAAAGAGGGCTGGTGGCTGCGGACATATTTTGAATATTTCCATCTTCCTGTCCTGCGGAAGTCACAGATTCAGCATGTCCAAAGTAGAATCAGTCATCTTCCCACAAAACTGTAATTTATCCAGATCTCTTCTTTTCTCCTCTAGCTGTGCAAATGCCACTCTTTTAGTCACTCTGGCTCGAAAGCTCTGTCATCTATGTCTCCTCTCTTAATTCTTTTCATAATAAATTTACCCTATAAACAATTCTGAACATCCATACAAACAACAGGTCATAAATGTAGTCATTTATAATGGAACTATTTTGGATGGTTTGTAGTGTATCATTCTGGTCACATTCCTAAGCAAATACAGATTTAATTTACTTCATACATGATTAGAGTCATACTTCACATTTCTAGAGGAACTGTTTTATTAAAGTATAACATCCATATAGAAATGTACACAATAAAAAAGAAATGTACACAATCATAATTTGACAACTTTTCATGTAATTAAAATATTCTCCCACTACAATTTTCCAAAGCTCAAAGGTATTCCATCTCATAGATGTACCATAGTTTAGATAACTAACCACTGTTCTAGGGTTTCTGGCTTTTTTCCCTAATCTTCTCACCTCTCCTTCCAAAATGCTGCAAAGATGAATTTACCTCTATTTAATCTGGTTTTTGTGCCCATTTCCAATTTTTCCTTAGAATAAAATTCCTAGAGCCTGAATTTCTGGGCCAACAGGCATGTGCATTTTAAAAAATAAACTTTAATTTTAGAATTGTTCTAGATTTATAGAAAATTACGAAGGAACTGCACACAGTTCCTGTATACCTTTTACCCAGTTTCCACTGTTAATATCTCTACCTGTGCAAATTAGTATAGCACATTTGTCACAATTAGTAAACAATATTGAGATATTATTAACTAAAATCCGTACTTTATCCAGATTTCTTTACTTTTTACCTAATGTCCTTTTTGCTGTCCTACTATCCCACTGAGGATACCACATTACATTAAGTTGTCACGTTGCCTTAGGCTCCTCTTGGCTGTGACAGTTTCTCAAGACTGTCCTTGTCCTGGATGACCTTGGCAATTTTGAGGAATACCGGTCAGGCATTCTGTAGAACGTTCCTCAATTGGGGTTTGTCTGATTTTCTTTGATCAGACTGGGGTTATGGGTTTGGAAGGAGATAAAATACCGCTCTCATCATATCTAGTCCACAAACTGTCAACATGATTTATCACTGGTGATGTGAACCTTGATCACCTGGCTGAGGAAGTGTTTTCTCTACCACAAAGTTACTCATTTCCCTCCTGACTGTACTTCTTTGGAAGTCACTAGGCACAGCCCACATTGAAGGAGTTGAGAGTTACGCTTTAGGGTGAAGTCTCTACATGAATTATTTGGAATTCTTCTGCACTAGCAAAACTGTTCTTCCCATTCGTTAACTTATTCTTATCAGTATTCATATAATTACCTTCTATGGGTATGAACTCATAGATATTTCTTTTATCTTTGAGTTTTAATCCAGTAGTACTTTACTGGTTTTGCTGCTCAAAGCATGTGTATTTTTTAACGCCCCGAGTAACTCGCCGCTAAGCTGCCCTGCCAAAGGTTGTACCAACTCAAATGGTTAAAAGGAGGATCCATTTGCTCTTCAGCTTCACACACCCTTTATAAAAGCAGGCTAGCAGGCAGGGATGAGGCCTAGGCCCTCTCTGGCGCCCAGTTTCCTGACGAAGATGAGGCCAGCGCGGAGACGTCCAGCCCCAGACGGACACCTCACCCCTAGCCTGGCCCCCGCCCTAACCGCGGCCTCTCCTCGCCCCAAGTAGGGTCTCCAGGCTTCCCCCACGGCCCCGCCCCACTTGGGGCGGAAGTGGGGGAGGCAGCGGGCCGGAAGTGCTGGGCGGGGGCGAGCCCTCCCGCGCAGATAGCTCCTCCCACTCTGCCGTCGCCCCACCCCCTCCGGCCCATACCGGAAATGAGGTCAGAGAGGGAAACCCTAGCGGGGAGACTCGGCCCCCATAGCGGCGGCCGCTGGAGGTGCCTGCGGCAGCTGGTGAGGGGCCGATGCGGATCGAGAGGGTCGGGGTCCGGGGGGTGGCGCCGGCGGGGCTCCGGGGCTCTGCGCCGTGGTTGAGCGGCCGGAGGCTTGGAGGGGCCGCGGCGGCCGGCGGGAGGAGCGAGGGTGACGGGGCCTTGCTTTTCAGGGCCCATCGCCTCCGTCCGGGGGCGGGGGGTAGGGGGAGCTGAGGGTCGGGCCGTCTCCCGGGTGACGGTCCTCACCTCTTCATTCTGGCTCTTTCGGGCCGGCGATAGCGTGAGGGCTTGGTGTGTCCAGGGCCGTGGTTGTCCTAGTCCTCGGGGGTGGGCCAGGGCCGAGAGCCCTTTGAAACACGCGTTTTTCCCCCCCTCACATATGTGGCCATGTTGTGACCCCTGATCACGGAGAGAGCCTAGTGACCGGGATTTGCTTTTTCGCACTTTCTCTCCCGGAGGAGACTGACCCCTGGCCCCTGGTGAGCAAGCCTGAGAGGTTGCCTCTTGCCTTTCCCGCCTCCTCCGCCCCCAACCTCCGACTCTGCCCCTGCCCCTGCCCCGCTTCTGACTCCTACCAGTTTCCCCTCATTCCATCACGTAAATAAGACAGCCTTTCCTCTTCCCGAGGGCCGGCCTGGACCCCAGGGTCCTCTTGGACCGGGGGTGTGGGAGTCCCAGGCTTCTGTCACCTGCTTTTCGAATTGCAGTTTTGGAAGCAGGAAAGGATTCTTCTGCACAGGCATTCGACTCCTAGTTGTTTAGTAACTTATTTCCACGTTAAAGTTTGTCCACTTCTGCCCGAGTGTTTCTTTTTTATTTTTTTATTAAAGCGGTAGTTCTTTATTTGGGAAGTAGACTTAGGCATGCTGTTCCCACTTGTTTACCTATTTTGGTCCTAGGGGCAATTGTTTCCCAAACCCCAGTCAGGGTGTTTTAAACTATTTATTTTCTAAAGGGTAGTGGTCTTCTGTGTATGTGTGTGTGGCTTTTGACACTTTGAGAAGTTTTGTTTGGTTGGTAGTTTTGGAACTAGATGTTTCTCATTTCCCCCACCAAAGTGGCAGATAAGCCAGCCGACTGTTTTCCTGCCTTTGAGTTTGTTGGCATTGGGGCCACATGAAAATTGGTTTTAGAAAAATCCCTTGGAGAATATAAACTGCAGGAACGGAAATATGGCCTGAGAGTGGGGTCACACAGAGGTTTAAGCTCTAATTATGGTCTTGAAATACTTTGGTCTTAACAAGGGGTGGGGAAAAGTGCCAATTTAATATGTATTTAATAGGTGTTATACAAATTATATTAGATATTTACATTTAAAAGGGCATTTTGAAGATTGGTCTTACTACTTTCATCCCTTGAAAGGTTTGCCTTTGAAGTGACCCCTGAAATGTGATGTATGATGGTTTGATATGAATGAGTGGAAAAGTAGGAAATTTTGGAAAGCAGTCAGCTTCAAATCTCAGAGACTCCATGTGGACCATCCCTGCCATTTCAGCCTCAGTTATGTCCTGTTTTTGTGTGATGATCCAGCATGAAAGCACATAATTAAGATGATCACTTATTTTCTGAAGGATGTGGAAAGAGTTTAAAAGTTGCTAATAATTAAAAATTATATGATATACTCTTATAAGATTTTTTACCTGGTAGCTTCCAGGTGGTAGTTGGTATAAACCAGAACGGGTATAAACTTAGTCTCTTTTTTCCATTTAGAGAACAAACCTGGTACATTACAGATTCTTGGATCTATAAAACTGCAAGCAGTTTTCCTTAAAGTGTGTCATTAAGGTTGTCTTTCTATTCTCTTCCACAGGCATTCTTATCAGTGACCTCATACTATACAATAGTCCTTCATCTATGCTTTTAAAGTTGAGTGTTTTTCTGCTCTTGTCTGATGAGACATTCTTTTATCTTTTTGGATCTTATCATTAGATAGTTTAGTGACATGTTTAATTGGGGAAAAGGGGGAAAGATTTATTCCTCTGAGTTTGCTAATATTCCCCTTGTCACTTGGTAAAAGAGATTTTTTTGCTTAAAAACATGTTGACTTAAGACATTTAACAGGGGCCAAACACCTATTTTCAGTGGCCAAAGGGGGCATGGATGGTAGGATTCTAAGAGTAGCCAGATGAAAGGCGATTATTTTCTATGGAAAGGGTGAACTCTGCAGTGACATGATTTGTTTTGTAAAAATTTTCTAAAATAACAGCTCCTATTCAGACTCTCTTTTTCTTTTTTCTTTTTAAAATTTCTTTTGACAGATGTGGCCTCATGGATGAGCTGGTACATGACTTAGCCTCAGCCTTGGAGCAGACATCTGAACAGAATAAGCTTGGTGAGCTGTGGGAAGAGATGGCCTTGAGCCCTCGGCAGCAGAGGCGGCAGCTTCGCAAACGGAGAGGCAGGAAGCGCCGCTCAGACTTCACCCACCTGGCAGAGCACACCTGCTGCTACAGTGAGGCCTCTGAGTCCAGTCTGGATGAGGCCGTTAAGGACTGTCGAGAAATGGCCCCGGTCACTAATTTTAGTGACTCTGATGACACCATGGTAGCCAAACGGCATCCAGCTCTCAACACCATTGTTAAGAGTAAGCAACACTCTTGGCATGAATCTGACTCCTTTACGGAAAATGCACCTTGTCGGCCGCTCAGGCGCAGGCGGAAGGTGAAGCGAGTGACTTCAGAGGTGGCTGCCAGCCTTCAGCAGAAGCTCAAGGTGTCAGATTGGAGCTATGAGAGAGGGTGTAGGTTCAAGTCTGCGAAGAAGCAGCGTCTGTCACGCTGGAAGGAGAATACTCCCTGGACATCATCAGGCCACGGATTGTGTGAATCAGCAGAAACTAGGACTTTTCTCAACAAAACGGGAAGGAAAGAAAGGATGGAGTGTGAAACAGATGAACAAAAACAGGGCTCTGATGAGAACATGTCAGAATGGTGAGATCTCTTACTTAGTGAAAGATTTTTCTTGATTAATTTGACCCAAAGTATAGATGCACAGTCTTGATGAATTTAACTTTCTTTCCAACCACCTTCTATAATACTGACTTTGTAGCTCTCCTTTAAACAATTAGTGTTTATCTCTAATTTTTATTTATTTTTATTGATCTTAGAGGGACTAAACGAGAGAGAGAGAGAGAGAGAGAGAGAGAGAGAGAGAGAGAGAGAGAGAGAGAGAGAGAAACGGTAATGTGAGAGAGAGACTTTGATTGGTTGTCTCTTGCACATACCCTGTTCAGGGATTGAACCTGCAGCCTGGTATGTGCCCTGACTGGGAGTTGAATCCGTCACCGTCTGATGTACAGGACTATATTCCAGCCAACTGAGCCACACTGGCCAGGGCTATCTCTAGTTTTGCTTTGTTTTTAATCCTCACTAAATTTTTTCCCCTTTTATCTCTAGAGAGAGAGTGGAAGGGAGGGAGAAGGATAGAAAGAAAGAAAGAAAGAAAGAAATAGAGGACAGAAAAGGGGGGGGGGGAGGCAACTGTATAAGAGACACACATTGATTGGCTGCCTCCGACCAGGGGTGGGGTATTGAACTGCAATCAACAGAAGCATGTGACCTTGACTGGTAATCCAACTGGCAACTCTTCAGTCTGCAGGGCAACACTCTACTTCTGAGCAAAATCAGCCAGTTAAAGAACATTCATGATTCTATTTCCCTCTGTCAAGGAGGCTATACTGTAATGGAAGCACATTTTTTCCTTAAAATGGTTTAAAATGTGTGCCTCAAATGCATAACCAAATTTTATTTTAAAGGCAGTTTGCTGCTGTTTATGCCATGTAGTTCATACATTGGTATTGTTCTTTAGAATCAGGATCTCAGCAGAGGTTGGTGTGTGTGTGTATTATAAATGCTGGTGCCATGCACATGGAGTTTGTAAATGTTCCTGGTATTGCCTTTACCCATTAAGAATCATGGCTTTAGATATGTCTGGGTTATAATTCTGTTCTCTGCTGCTTACAGTTTGACTATATTGAGTTTATTTTTATGGCTCATATTCAAGTTGTCCGAACACATCGTAGGCTTTTAAAATAACAGTACTTAGTCCCATTAGTCTTATGTCAGATGCCAGAAAAATTTGTATGTATTGGGTGCATATTTATAATGTCAGTATAGTTTTTATTTTTTACCTCTCAGATAGTCCTAGGGACAATGAAACTACCCATCTTGATACTTTAATATTGTCATTATTAATAATAATGTGAGATATCTGTTTCTCACTGGGGGAGATGCTGTTGGTGTTTTGGATGGGGCAGTTCTTCGTGGTTAGGGATTGTCCCATGCCTTGCAGGATATTTGGCATTTTTGCTTTGTTTCCATCTACCTGCCCAGTTTATATTATCAAACCAAAAGCTTCTATGGGTGTTCCCTAGATGGGTTGAATAGTCTCAAATAGGAACCATTATATCCTGTTTTGATATTAGTTAGCAATTATGAAGCACTAACTGTGTGCCAGGTATTGTACTGTTGTGCATAGCATATTCTTCCTTTTTAAAAAAATATATTTTATTGATTTTTTTACAGAGAGGAAGAGAGAGGGATAGAGAGTTAGAAACATCGATGAGAGACAAACATCGATCAGCTGCCTCCTGCACACTCCCCACCAGGGATGTGCCTGCAACCAAGGTACATGCCCTTGACCGGAATTGAACCTGGGACCTTTAAGTCCGCAGGCCGACGCCACTGAGCAAAACCGGTTTCAGCTGCATAACATAATGCTCGCAACTCCACTATTTGTATTTTATAGAAGAGAAATGGAGGTTAAGCATGGTTAGATAATTTGCCCAAAGGTGGCAAAACTGGAAGTCAAACCTGATCCCTGAGTTCATACTTAACCACCATGTTTCCTATCCTTTGACTTTGCCTTTTCCATGGCTTTTTTCTCTCATCTTAACTTCTATAACCTAAAGATGTATGGCCTTTCTTAGGACTTTGCTTCTTTTGAAATTTGTCTGAAAAACAAAGACATAAATCTTGGTTCCTCTGAGGTGAGGCTGTGTGAGTAACAGGAAAAGCTTTGTAGGTTTGTATGTGCCTATACCTTTCCTGAGTGTTTTCAATCCAGCTGCACAACTAGGTAGGCTTATGATTTGGCTTTTGAAATTTTCCTCTAATGTATATTCCAAGGTCTATTTACCCAGTTTATATATAAATTTTGGGTTATAAAATCATGCTATTGATTTTATAACCCAAAGTGCTATTTTTAATGAAACAAGAAATACTTAGTCAACTTGTAGCTTTTCACAATGTTGAAAATCTCAATTGAGGTGATCAAGTTGTTTCAATATTGAGCATACTTACCAAATAGTAATCATACTGTTGAGAATGGTGATTTTATTTTATTATTTATTTATTTATATTTTAAATATATATATTTTATTGATTTTTTACAGAGAGGAAGAGATAGGGATAGAGAGTTAGAAACATCGATGAGAGAGAATCATCAATCAGCTGCCTCTTGCACACTCCCTACTGGGGATGTGCCCGCAACCAAGGTACATGCCCTTGACCGGAATCGAACTTAGGACCCTTCAGTCCGTAAGCCGACGCTCTATCCACTGAGCCAAACCGGTTTCGGCGAGAATGGTGATTTTAAAAATAGCCCTTTGGGATGATAGCTTTTCGTCCCCAGAATTTCTTATTAAACTATGACATAATTGTGTATGTGAGGGAGACTGTTAACTTTGTCTACTCTAAGATAGCCCACATGTGATTCTAAATGTAGAGCCTATAATCTAGCAGTGAGGTACTTTGGTTTTTCTGGTTATTTCTTACCCCATCTATTGCACATACAGTCAGGTGGTGAGTATATACATTCTAGTTATTCGGGAGCCTGGATAAATTGAAATCGGCAGCAAGTCTTACGGAATTTCTTACTCTTGAAATCGAGGACCTTGTTTCCCCCTTTGGTCTCTCCCTGGTTCATGACTTTAGAGTTTTTTCAGTGATGTGGATGCCAAAGTCTTTGCAGCTAACTAACTATGAAGGAGGAATAATGGGTGGAATAGTAGCAGAAATAGAAAAAAAATTCTTTAGAATATGATTATTTAGAACCCTAAATTTGCTTTGATTATGTTGATTCACCTATAGTTATAAACAGAAGTGTTTGTATTTATTCTCCCTAAATCTACTCTTTGGGGAAAGGGGAAATTTTTACTCTCACTGCATATTACTATGGTCAGCCTCTCAATAGTAAAGTGGAACTATAAATCTTCTGCCCTCAATTATTAAGTACACCTTATACACAGGAGTAGCATTCGAGTGTGTTTAAGTAGAAAATAGTGTATGATTTGGATATTGTACTGTCTTGTTGAGTTGATTCTGTCAAAATGTTCTTAGTTTTTCTGCATTAAAAAGATACTTCCAAGAATCCTCTTGGTTACCCTTTTCATAAATTTATTTGGATGTGCTAATTTATTCACAGATCAAAGTGTAGAACTTTACTTTTTATCAGTTGTATTGAGGTTTGTCAGATTGTATAAGATCCACCTTGTAAAATTATTAGGATGAATTGATCATTTAGCTTAGCCTAGTCTCAATGGATAGGAAGAGTTCTTATAAAAGTCATGCATTAGGTGTTTTAGAATCAAAACCGTATGTCTCAATCAGAGAGCTTTATTTCTAATTTCCTTAAACTCATGGGTAACTAAACTTGGAGTCTTTTTAAGTGTAACCAAGAATTCTTTTTGCTTTTTCTCTTTCTATTCTTCAATTCTACACCAGCAGTCCCTTGAGTTCTGAAGAACTAAAAGTGGTTGTGATACAATAGCTTTCTTATGCCTACAAAAAGATCAGTTATTATTTTATTATTTTTCTGTGCATAGTGTGTTCCATCCTAAAATGGAACAACTCTTTTGTAAAGTTACTTTCTACTGATCTTTATTCAAATTGCCTATAAAGCAGTTATTAATTAGGTGATTTATAGTCTAATTTTGCTCTCTTCTCTCCTAACACATAATTCATCTGTTCTCTTTGAATATAGCTTAACTTCTTTTCTTTCATAAATGAGTTGGTTTGGTGTTGGCCTGAGGTTCCGGTTAAGAGCCTTCCTCTGATGATATATTAGAGGCTGATCTCACAGGAAAGAAAATATTCCTTTCTCTTGGAAGGCAAGTGACAGAGATAGAGTGCTAAACCTTCCCCCCCTTCTCCAGCCCGGGCTGACCTTCTGCGGCCCCTTGGTGCCTCTTGTTTTCTTATTTTTATAGAAAATCAATATCCCTTCTGACACAAACAATAGCTCAGAAGCAAGAATAAATGGCAGAAAGCTGAGATCTCTGTCTATCACCTCTCACTTTAACTCCCCCAAACTCTTTAATTATGAGCAAGCTTTGCTCCAGGTGTTTGCTACAGTGAAATTGCTAAATGAGGACCATTTTAACCAAAGATTGGGTGATCAATAACACTCTATAGCAGTAGCTTGTTGGATCAATAGCATTCATTATTTCATGGTTAAGGTAAGTAGCCTCCTTTGCGAGTGGAGGTCATTAATCAGGGGTTTGTGGAGCTGTAGAAAAGAATATAAGAGGTAGGTTGAGGATGTTCTGTTTTCTATTCTGTAAATAGGGATGCTGACCAACAGTATATTGTAAATTATATTTTTGCATTTGAGAGTATTGAATAGCTAGCATAGTGTTCTTATGTAGATTTAACCAAAATTCTATTAGTACATCCTTAAGAACAACTAAAAAAGGCAACTTGGGAGGTGGATCTGATACTATTATATTTGAGGATCTGTCTCTTGAAAGAAATGTCTGGCTCTTTAGAGAAATGCTAGAATTTTTCTTTGTGGTTCTAGAGGAAAGAATTTGGATTCGTGGATAGAAAGTATAGAGAATTAAGTGTTGCCTCAGTATTGATATAACATTCTGAAAATTAGAACTTTGTAAAAATGAAGTGGATTGTTTCACTAGGTAATGAGTTCTGGATCA